TGGAAAACTCTACAGGCTGTCGGTTCACACCCCATCACAAGCCAGCAAAACATCCACGAAACAAAGAAAGGTCTGTCCCAGCCAAAAAATACACTCCAGACACGCCGCTGGCACTAGAGGCACAACATGGCCGCCTAGTAACGGCCCCGACCACTGCCGCTCGACCTGACCGGAAAAAAACCATAGCAGGAAGCTAGCGAAGTCGTAGTATATATCGTCACAAACAGAACTGCCCGGTAAAACCGTAGGCAGAGAGAGAGAAGAGGACAACAAACGAGGGGCTGTGACAAATTGTTTCGTCGGTGTTTCATATATATATATATATGGGGGTGTAGATTGTTTTCCGCTGTACATCCCCATATTTTTATTTTTTATTTTCGAGCATTTACATTATTTAAAAAAAATCAAAAACCTAACCAGACCCAAAACACATCGATTTTTTTTTTTTTTTACATGTATTACCCTAAAAAGAAAAAAGATCTTGGTTCCCCTACTCCTCTCCTTAACATTAGGCTTGGTTACACGACCTCCTGTACCTCATCCACAGGATCACGCTCCTGTGGTCGCGGCTGTGAGGCACCCGTCCTCCCCTTGCCACTGCCTCGCTGGACGTCCACAGCTTGTCTATCCGCGATATCGTGCTCCCTCATGTAAGCCACGATACCACGGTGATGTCGCTGGTTGAACTCGTAGTCTGTGTGGTTCCAAATATCTACAAACATGTCCATCATCGCCGCCGCGCACCTCTTCAATTGCGTGAAGTGGCGCTGTGACTTATACAAATTTCCTTGACAGACATGCTTGCAATAATTGTTGTGCAACTTATAATCCCCATGCCTCTTCTCCCATGTTCCCAACCTCTGACCCTGCGTCACATGACGCGACACTCTCGACTTCGTGCGTAGCTCGTCCATCTGCACATCGCTCGCTGGAACGAAGTCAGTGCCCCCCGAACCGCCCGCACCACCGTCATTTTAGACATTAACGGCCGTCAACACGTCCGTCGACCACCCCCCCCCCCCCCCCCCCCCCCCCCCCCAAACAACACCCCCAACGAAGTTGATGAAACCTCGCCTCAAGACCCGACGTGTCCCACCTCTGCAGCAGGCCCAAGGCGGTCCTCCCCGCAGAACGCGGCCGAGTACCCCGCCACGAGGACGAGACTAACGCCGCGCGGCCTCAGACGCGTCCGCGGACATGGCCTCTCCGACGTGAACGTGGCCGCGTCCTAGTTGCACCGTCGTGGCCGATCGCTCGTGTCGCCGACTGCGCCCGTGCGCCAGAAGTGGTCGCCGAAACCTGAAAGAAGACAAAAAAAAAAAGGGGGTCAGGACAGAGTCTTTGTTTGATTGTGTGATTGATTGGTTGATTGATTGATTGTCTGATCTCTCTCTCTCTCTCTCTCTCTCTCTCTCTCTCTCTC